GCCATCAAAGTATGTATCTGTATATTTTTTTTAATCTTGTTAAGATCTAAATAGGGGAAAAAAATGTTTCACTAATCTCAAGCAAGAAGGTACCATTCAGAACCTTCCTATATTATCAGTGAAAAGAGATTTACAGTGAGTCAGGTCATAATATTACAGATGTTCTTAGTAAGTCAACAAGAGTGCATCAAATCCCTGTTTTGTGGAGTGGATCAGGAATAGAAAGGCTACTTATTGCTTACAGCTTCCCAGACTACTTTTCTAGACAAGGAGTAATAATGTTTTATAATTTAGGATGCTTTTTCTGTTTTGTCTCTTACTCCATTACACACTATATCAACAATGTCAGAAGTCAAAGGCTATAAAGATATAAAATACTTAGGCATGTAAAGTCACAGGGAGAAAAGTAGAACTAAAACAATTTGAGAAGTTGCAGTGCAATTAATTAAACTTAGAATGTAAATCTAGCTAAACTTATTTATCTCTAATAAGTATCACAGAATGGCTGAGGTTGGAAAGGACCTCTGGAGGTCATTTTGTCCAACCCTCCTGCTCAAGTATGGCCACCTAGGGCTGGTTGCCCAGTACTGTGTCTAGACGTTTGGGGGGGTTTTTTTAATACCTCTATGGAGGGAGACTCCCCAATCTACATACAAAAAATGTACGAGCAAAAATTCATTCTTTGTAACACAGTTAATTTGTAAACATAAAATGGAGTATTAAATTGTTCTTCACACATCGTACTTTGTTCTATGCATACTGAGTTTTTGTATGCAGTCTTTTCATATTGGCCAAAATGCAGTAAGATAGCTTTAAAGTGTGATAATACAGAATAAGAAACTTATTTCAAATGAAAGTCTTTGTTAGAAAATAAATTTACCAACCAAATCTAGTTAAATGCAAAAAAAACCTGTCCTATATGAAGTTTAGAAGAAAAGATACTCTGAAGGCTATCCATATCATTTACTAGCACAGGTAGTCCTCTGCTTTCTAAGCTGTTTAGGCACCTGAATTAAGATTAATTTTCCCATATATCTATGTAAGTGTAATAAAGCTCTCCCCATGAAAGAATCTCCAACAACTTTGTTAAACCTGTTTCTCCTGCTGGAAACTAGCAAATAATTCCAAAGCCCAAACTGAAAATATCAGTTAGTCATAGTATGTAGAATATCAAGAACAAGTAAAGAGTCCTGGGAGCGGTGGTAAAGGACTCTAGAGTGCAGGTAGTTTTTACATCGTTCCTCCTGGTCAAAGCAAAGGGGTCTGAAAAGAGCAGTCAAATCTGACAAATCACCAACCGGTTACAGGACTGGTGCCACAGCCAGGGGTTCAGCTACTTAGACCATGGGACTCACACTGAGAAACCTGGTCTACTGAGGGCTGATGGAGTCCATCTGTCAGAGAAGGGGAAAAGCATCTTTTGTCGCTGGCTTGCCAAGCTGATGAAGGGGACTTTAAACTGCAGTTGCCAGGGGAGGGAACCTCAATCCATCCCACTCCTACCAGCTTGATGCCAGTGCCAGCAGTAGACACCCAGAGCCTGGAGAGGGGTCACAGGGCAGCAGGAGAGCACCTGGAGAGCAGCACAAAGGGATTCTGGCCAGTAAGTCAGCTTCATCAGGGGCACAACTTAAATGTCTCTATGCAAACAAATGTAGCATGGGGAATAAAGAAGAGGAATTACAGACATGAGCATGCATGCAGGCCTATGATCTTATTGGCATCATGGATGGGATGGCTTTTATGACTGGAGTGCTGGAATGGAAGCATACCGGATCTTTAGTCAGGACAGGCAGGGGAGACAAAGCGGGGGTGTCACCCTCTGTGTCAGTGATGAGCTGGAGTGCATGGATCCATGCTCTACCTGGGGATGGATGAGGAGCTTATGGGTCAGGATAAAAGAGAGGGCAGGGACATAAGATGTTATGGTGGGAGTCTGCTACAGTCTGTCCAACCAGGAAGACTGATGAGGCCCTCTATAGAAAGATGGGAGTAGCCTCACATTTACAAGCCCTGGTCCTCATGAGGGACTTCAACCACCTTGACATCTGTTGAAGGGACAACACAGCAGGGCATAAGCAATCCAGGAGGTTCCTGGAATGTATTGATGATAACATCCTTCTCTGAGGATAGAAGAGCCAATGAGGAGTTCAACATGCTGGACTTGTTCCCATCAACAAGAAGGGGCTGGTGGGGAGTGTGAAGCCCAAAGGCAGCCTTGGCTGCAGTGACCATGAAATGGTGGAGTTCAAGATCCTTAGGGCAACAAGGAGGGCACACAGCAAGCTCTCTACCCTGGACTTCAGGAGAGCAGACTCTGGCCTCTTCAGGGATCTGCTTGGCAGAGTAGCATGGGATAAAGCCCTGGAGGGAAGAGGGGCTCAAGAAAGCTGGTTAATATTCAAGGATCACCTCCTCCAAACTCAGAAGTGATGCATCCTGACAAGGAGGAAGTCTGGTAAGAATGCCAGGAGGCCTGGACAAGCTCAAAAACAAAAAGAAAGTCTACTGAAGGTGGAAGCAAGGACAGATAACCTGGGAGGGATACAGAGAAACTGTCCAGGTAGCCAGTGATCAGGTTAGGAAGAGCAAAGCACTGACAGAATTAAGTCTGGCCAGAGATCTCTAGGGCAACAAGAAAAGCTTCTATAGGTACACTGGTGATAAAAGAAAGACTAGGGAAAATGTGGGCCCTCTCTGGATGGTAATGGGAGACCTGGTTACCTGGGATGTAGAGAAGACTGAGGTACCTAACGATTTTTTTTTTGCCTCAGTCATCACTGGCAATGCCACACTGCCCAAGATGTAGAAGGTAAAGGGACTGGGAGAAGGAATAACTGCCCACTGTAGGAGAAGGTCAGGTTTGAGACCATCTAAGGAACCTAAAGGTGCACAAGTCCATGGAATCTGAAGAGATACATCTGTGGGTCCTGAGCAAATTAACAGATGAAGTAGCTAAGCCACTATCCATCATACCTGAGAAATTTTGACAGTCCGATGAAGTTCCCACTTACTGTAAAATGAGAGAATACAACTCAGTTATTAAAAAGGGAATGAAAGGAAGACCCAGGAAACCACAGGCCAGTCAGTCTCAACTCTGTTCCCAACAAGATCACGGAGCAGATCCTCCTGAAACTGTGCTAGGGTGCATGGAAAACAAGGAGGTGATTGGTGACAGCCAACATAGCTTCACTAAAGGCAAAATGTGCCTGACAAATTTGGAGGCCTTCTAAGATGGGGTTACAGTGTAGGTGGATAAGGGAAGAGCAAGTGACATCATCCATCATCTAACTGGACTTGTGCAAAGCTTTTGACACTGTCCTGCACAACATCCTTGTCTGTAAATTGGAGACATGGATTTGACAGATGGACCACTCGGTGGATAAGGAATTGTCTGGATGGTCACACTCAAAGAGTTGCAGTCAATGGCTCGATGAAGAGCAGTGACGAGTGAAGTTCCTCAGTGTTTGTGTTGGGACCAGTGCTGTTTAATGTCTTTATTGGGGACATGGACAGTGGGATTAAGTGCACCCTCAGCAAGTTCACCAGTGACACCAAGCTGTGTGGTGTGGCCAACACAATGGAGGCAATGGATGTGCCATCCAGATGGACCTGGCCAGGCTGGAGAGGTGGGTCTGTACAAACCTCATGAAGTTCAACAAGACCAAGTGCAAGGTCCTGCACATGGGTCGAGGCAATCCCAAGCACAAATACAGGTTGGGCAAGCAGTGGATTGAGAGCAGCTCTGCTGAGGACTTGGAGGGTAGTAGCAGATGGAAAACTGACTATGAGCCAGCAGCATGTCCTTGCAGCCCAGAAAGCCAACTGTATCTTAGGCTGCACCAAGAGAACTGTGGTCAGCTGGTCGAAGGAGGGGATTCTCCCCCTCCACTCTCATGAGACACCCCATACCCCCGCACTCCTGTGTCCAGCTCTGGGGCCCCTAACATCAGAAGGACATGGACCTGCTTGAGCAGGTCCAGAGGAGGCCAGGAAAATGACCAGGGGGCTGAAGCACCTTCCTTATGAGGACAGACTGAGAGAGCTGGGGTTGTTCAGGCTGAAGAAGGCTCCAGGGAAACCTTATAGTGGCCTTCAGTATTTAAATGAGGGCCTACACTTTATCAAGGAGTGTAGGGATAGGATGAGAGGTTAGGGTTTTAAACTGAAAGATGGTAGATTTAGATTAGATATAAGGAAGAAATGAGACACTGGCACAGGCTGCCCAGAGGAGCTGTGGCTGCCCCCTCCCTGGCAGTGTTCAAGGCCAGGTTGGATGGAGCTTTGAGCAACCTGGGCTAGTGGAAGGTGTCCCTGCCCATGGCAGGGGGGGTGGGACTGGATGAGCTTTAAGGTCCTTTCCAATCAAAACCATTCCATGATTCTATGAGATAAAAGATTAATATCTTAGTTCCTCCACATTATTCTCTTCTACAATGGTCTATGAATTTAAGTGCATGTGTCAATGAAAATACTGTTAAATTTGACTAAAGACAAGGACTATGTTTCTGATGCACTGCATTCAAGAGAATGAGGTATGCAGTCCCCATTATTTTCCTTTCCAAAATCATTCTTTTCAGTACAGATCAAGTTTGAAGTTTATTTAGGGATATTTAATAAAATTGAACACTTCAGAAATCTAGGTACTTCTGCATTTTTTTTCCTCCAGCATCTTAGAGGATCTCTGATGTCCTAGACATAAGGTCCTGATTTGTCAATGAGACCTACCATGTCAAATCCATGCAAATTAGTCAACTTTGATCATGGTACAGACATAAAATCACATCACTAAGTATCTGATCCTACAAATTAAGTACATTATTTTTAGGCTTAAATAATACTTTTTGTGTTTGTTTTGGATATTGTGTAAAACTGACTCCTCTATGGGGTAAAATCTTAGCTCAGAAGAAAATTAATAACTTTGCTTTTGTCTTCAATGAAATTGGATTCTACTCAAAGTATCATAATTATGCTTAACAGAAATTAATCCAACTGCTTACTTGATCTTTGGTTTTTGATGAAGAAGAGCTTTAGTCTCTCTTTAAATGTATTTTCATTCATATAGAATTCAACTTGCACCCTGAAATATAAAAGGAAGCATTAGAATTGAATATGAAAGATAATGATTTTTTCAAAATCATTTTTTTCCCTAATCATCTGTTCTTCATATATAAGTGGAGGAACATATAGAGAGCATTCAGTGAAAAGCTCACTTGTATTTGAATGACTAATGTTAAAAGATTAAAAAACAGAAAAAAAAGAACCCCAACATATGCAAAAACTTAGTTTATCCCCTTTACATGCAGAATCATTTTCATATTTCTTGGACAGTCTACACTGCAAAATCAGAAGCATCTAAATCTTGGTATTTTCATCGGAAGACTAGTCTCATCTGTATCTTTGTAAGGAAGATTTCCTTGGTGTTCAGGTTAAATCTTCCATCTCAGTTTAACCATCTTCCTGTAAAAATGTCATTTTAATGATTCTTTTTTCTTTCTTGTTCATATCTGTCAAGCATTCATGTCTTAGTTAAGTGTTCATTTGTTTGTGTTCACCTTCAAATGCTCATGCACCAAACCACCCTCTCTGAACTCTGCTTTTGTCACAACCAAATACTAAGACCTGAAAGCAAAATTATGTTGCAATCATACAATATTGTACAGAAAATAACTCCCCTTCCTGATTATATTAAAGCAACAGCAACATCTTTTTTTTCCTCCTTTCCCTCCCCAAATTTGCCAGAATGTATTTCATGATTCTGTCTCTCAATTCAGTCTGAATACAACTCATGCAATAGTTCTACAGACTAGAAGAGAGAAGAAAACTCTTGCAGGGGCTGGCAAGGGGAAAAGAATGTGTGCATTAGTTGTATTGAAAACTAGGCCATTCCGTAGTTGTGGAGTTGCACTGCTTGCTGTCAGATGAGTGCAGCAGTAGTTCCATTTCCACTGAAGTCCCTGCTCTACCCAACTGACTGGATCTCCCTCACCAATCCCAGTTCTCCTCCAGGAATGAATCGCTTTACCCCAGCACAATTTCTGTGCCTTTCTGACAAGTCATTCAACAGTTTGAGAACTGTTCTACTATTGCTAAAGATTAAAGTGACATCACAACAGTGAGTTACTTTCTTACTTTTCACATTCTCTGTACACCATGTGTTGAAAAACTGCATACACCTTTTCTGTTCACAGGCATACTTGACCTTTATTTGAGCATTTCTTTTCAGCACTCTTTCATCAAATGACTGTACTTCAATTACTTGTTCTTATATGTACTGTCATATTTTTCAAGCAGGGTCCTGACTTTAGTTTTTCCCATCTTGCATGTGAAGCCTTTGCTGAAACAATTTTTGTATAATCTAACATTATCTACAGTCTCTCTTCCTCAAATACTTGTCTAATACCATGTATTTCTGTGTACTTATGGAATTGAATGATTATTTAGTTGTGGGCCCAGAATGGATGGCGTCTCAGATAATGTGACTTTTTCATGCTTGCTTACTTATTACCAGAAGTTTAGGCGTATCACTTTGTAGGACAGGGTCAGCACATCACAAAAAGAAGGTGTTCTATGACTCATTTAGTGAGGTCAGTTAATTTTAGGTAGTCACTTAGCTTTGGTGTGGTTTATTGCAGTGTTCCTTGTAGAATGAATTATTACATTGCTTCCTGTTCAGAGGAAGCAAAAACATAACCTTATTTTTAAGAATCTATAGTGGAACTAAGCTCTATAACTTACAGAATTTTGAATTTATTTCTGTGCAATGACACATTTGGCACAGCAGCAAGAACAACCCCTACCCAAGACCAATTTTTCTGGCTCTACCCCTTCTGTGGTAACAGCTGTAAGCAGTTGTAATTAAAGAGGACAAAAGGACAAACCCACCCACTCTGCTTTTTGAACTAAGAGTAGTTGCAACTGCATATTTCAGAGTCTGGGATCAGAGGAATGTACTAGAAACTGGCACCAAACTAGAAGAAATCTGGATGAAGAGCAACTTGTTTGGGGGCTTTTATTGAACTTAAACATAGACTAAGTGTTGTGCTGTTCCAAGACTGCAGGAGTCGTTGCCATAAAAAGAAATACAACTCTGATAGTTGATAACCTTAAGGCAAGAGAAGCATGTCCAGGGGTTAATTAGTAGGTAAGCAGGTTTGTGGAGGCCTGAGTTCTGCTTCAGTTCTTTTCTGCGCATTTCCCAAGGTAACTTAGTGTCATTAACGCAGTGATAGTTTTAGTGGGAAACATTTCCTGTGATTTGGCAGCTGCCACATGCTAAGTGTATATACTTAATCTTCAAGGACATATTTCAGTAGGTAAACACAGTGGCACAAGCTACTAAAGTAAGGGATGTTATTTTAAAGGTGCACAGCATCAGACATATTTTTTACAGATTTTAAACTAATCGCTCACGTTATTCAGTAAGAAAAATACAGTAGTCACTTATCATGAAAGAACACATGTTAACAGCAAGTCATGGAAGCTAATCACTCTCCTATCACTACCATCATGAATTGCTCTGATAGCCTTCTAACAGCTGTCTACTCCTGTCTCCTTAGCAACCTGTGCTCACAGCAGACTGGGATTCCACAGTGCAGCAGTTTCCATGGCAAAACGGATTACAAATGCTGCTAATACCACTTCTGTGGCTCAACTCTTCCTTCTCCTTCCCATGACTTTTTTTAAACTTAAATAAAAACTATCTCGGCCTTCTACAGTTGCAGGAAATACATTATCGTGCATATATAATCAGTCTACACTTTCCTGATACTCTGGCTTTGATTCTTAAAGGTTGCTATTTACAAAGTAAAGCTAACAAATAATGGTTGATAGAGCCACTGGCAGGGATAAGAACAGAAACCTTCATACACTGCTCCTTCCCAATACTGGGTTCTTTTATTTTTAGGGAGAACACTCATTCTACTTGAACCTAATCTTTTGCTGGTTAAACTTTTACCTCAAGTATTTGCTCTCTTCTGTATTTTTCCCACTATGAAGTGTAACCTAGAAAAGGAGTATTTCAGGAATGTAATACAAATTCTGATCCTCGCTTGCAGTATTAAAATCATGTTGTAGTAGTAGTAAAGGGCTTAAACAAGCTTTTTCTGGACTAAAGTAGCAATTAGTACAGATGAGTGAGTGAGGGAAATTAATTGCCACGTACTTATATAAAACTTGGTTATTCTGTTGCAGGATAAATACTAGTTGGAAATTGATTTCAAGCAAATGGTTTTGATGAAATGGCATTCATGCAGTACAGAGTGATAGTATATGCGTACGCAGATCATCTGGCCTATGGAGTAGGTTTGGTTTTGTTCTTCATTTCTAGTGTAAGTAGTTTAAACAATTTGTGCTTCATGTTTTTCATCTTCCCATAAAAGACAGTTGTAGTTCAGTCCACCCTGACCAAAAGGAAATCAAGCTGAAGGATGAAAACGCTACTCTTGATGATGGTTACTGGGACAGAAACATTTGACGAACATAAGGATTTTGTAGATGCAGTCAACCATTTCTGACTTTTTCTGTGTATGTGGTAGGCATTAAATATTCCACAAAAAGCTGGTTTTGGAAGTTAAAGATCAGGTTTAATACTTGGTTGACCCCTGCCTCAGTTTTATTGAAAATGCACTAATAGCTGATATACCTGTGGCAAAACCAACTGAAGCTGTATGACTCTTGAAAACACTGTGTGGTTTTTTTAACCTTCTTAGAACTTAATACCTTTAACAGTGGTCTTCCCCAGTGATGTCAGTGGAATCTTTCAAACTGTTAAGATGCGTCCTGAAGTACCCAAAATACAAGTATATGCTGCACTCTTCTAATTCAGTCAAGATGTAATTTGAGTAGTACAATTCAATGTAATACAGTGTGGCAGGAAAGTGCTAATTCATGCCAAGGACTCTAATGCAAAGCACTTCTCATGACTGTAAATTAGTGGGACTGATGTCTGCACTCCAGTTATTTAACTAATTTTGTCTGCATTTTTCCTCTGCTACTTACTAGTCATTCTACTCCATAGCCATGCTTTACTACAGTAACAATGTTACCTTGCACCCTCAAATCTACAAATTGTATTTCTTTCCTGTTAGAAAATAGCAGATTTTGCAGAATCCCTTCAAAAATGAAAGTCTAACTGCATGTGTGCTAGGAGTTTAAATGTTTATGCTTACCACTTCTTGACACTGGAGTCAAGAAAGATGTTAACTGTACAAATGGAGCCAATCTGAAGAAAACTACATCAATTTATTTAAAGCCATCTGTATGGGAAGTTGGGAAACTTCATGGTTTTCCTACAAAAACAGCCTTGTCATATAGACACTGTTTTTTATTGGGATTCGCCAATTCCATATATGTGAAATCCTGTTAGATTTCAAACCTGAAAGTTTATTATGTAGGGTGTAGATAGTGCTTAAAAATGAAGCATTTGAAGTGATGAAGTGAACTGTTATTGTCAAAGCTTATTTTATGCAAGAGAAGGAAATGGGCATTTGTGTGTTATAGCTTTTAATAAAAGATCAGTGTATTTTAATGATTACTGTATTGAGTGGCAGTTCTCTTCTTTCTGAAGTTTTGCAAGTTCTGAAATACTCAGAATTCTGATTTGGTTAGAGCTTCATAGACAAATGGTCATTTAACTTCCCAGGCCTGCTTGCTCCATCAGAATCAATATGACAGATCAAGACTGCTTGTTGAATGATACCTCCTCATCCTGTGCTGAAGAAAATGGTGGTAAGACCAGAACTTTTATGTTACTGATTCTTAACTTGGGGAGGCTTTCTATTTGTTTCTGGGAGGAAATCAGTAATCAGTTGCAGAGGTCACGATGAACCCTGAACAGATAAAGTTCTGAGTTTTTAATTTTCTCTCCATGCCGAATGAAAGGACCCCAGAACAAATGCTAGTAATTGGGGGAGGCAAGGTACTTGTTTCCTCCCATTTATTGGAAAGATGGAAAAGATGCTATTTCTCTTTCAGCTTCCTAATTTGGTAGTCTTGCAGTGTGAGCATAATATGAGAGAGTTGTGGGGGACAGGGCCTCAACATTTTTCTGGGTACTTTAGGACATAGTCTTTAAAAGTTACATCCGTAACAAAGCTGTTTGCCATGCATATGCTGATGAAATCTAACATTTGCAATACGGCCCTGCATTTTCTTAGAGATTATTTCTAAGAAGTATGGAGTAATTAAAACTGACAAGTATAAGGTCTTTTTCTGATAGGGGATTGTCCTGGTTCTGCTTGGATAGGGTTAAGTTTCCCCAGCAGTGGCGAGGGAGCTCCAGCTGGGTTATTCAAGACCATGCTGACCAGGTCCAGGAGCCCAAGTGCAGGAATAGCAGAGACGTTTTTGTTCGCGTCAACACCTTCACTGTTGTACCCATGCGGTATATATCTTGTTCTGTTTCATTGTTATTACTGTTATTGTTATCGTTGTTGTTCGGTTTGGTGTTGTTACACTGTTGTATTAAATTTTTCCTTATATCAACCCCGGGGTTTGTATCTCACTCCCTGCTCTGTCCAGTCCGAGGGTGGGGGAGGAGGAGCAGCAGCGACATCACGGTCTCAGATCCCAGCAGGGCTTAAACCATCACAGGGATTTTATCCCTTTTGTATGAATAAACCAATTAATATTTTCAAGATCTCTGCAGAACTGTGTTCATGTAATACTGTTAAGTAGATTCTTTATAATATCTAACATTGTGACATGATATCTATCATCATTCACGACAGACCACAGGTTCCACACGTAATATGCAGTATTACCTATTATCTCTTCATTTTTCCAAACTAAACTCCTTGCAGTACTCCTCTAGAACAACTTAGGCAGTATAATTGTCTGGTTCAAATTTGAACTATGATGTAACAAAGACACGTCTGGTCAGCTTAGAACTTAAGAGTGTATGCTATGACATCTGTACCTGGGCATTTATTTTGTTGTTTTCTTTCTATGGGTGTATTTGTTTAGAAGTTACCTTCTAAATCAGTGAATTTAGAAAAGCAGTGAAGTTTTTCCAGACATACCTACATTAGCTTGATTATGTAATTGGATGTTACCGTAACTAATGGATTTATAGAGATCAGGTGTTATCAGTGTCACGTAAAAATTCTCTGTATTAATGAAAATAGAAATAGCATGCACTGAGTTCAGCTTAATA